ATGAGTGGTGGAGCATCAGAGCATGACTTGCAGAGCATCTGAGCGTGATGAGCACAGTTGCAGGAGCATTTCAAGTACCTTATAGCATATTTCATATAAACCTTCATTCGCGACCCTTCTACCTCATCACTTTCGGGCTCCTCTACTACCTCTTGCTTGAGCATCTCTACCTTCGGAGCATCTCCATCTACCAGTTTATGTGGAAGCACTAAAACAAAAAGTGTGTTATACAGCCAGCCCGCCCTCGCCTTGGGCCGCGGGTGTAGGTGGAGCCTCGCTCCTACGCGTTCATGCTGCCTATGTTAGTCTTCACTTCGGTGCGGACGCATAGGATAATCCAAAAATGTGAGCTCACCTGGCGAGTGAGAATGCAAAGTACTATTGTTTTCGTGCACTAGTAACATGCCGGGCCCACTAATGTGGGTGCCACCGATGCCCAGCAAGACGGCCGGCGTGCCGTATGTTCCTCGATTGTTAATCCTGACCCAGCATCCGGAGAGGTTAGCAACATTCTTTTTGCTATATCTTTGCCGTAATGGTTTCATAGGTCAGAGTAGTGAGTAGCTCGTACCCCAGCTACATCGGACTCGCACCATGGACGGCTACCAGTGGTCCCAACAAAGTTGGCAGCGGCAGCCGCCTCCTCCTCCTCCTCCACCAGACTATCAAGCACATCCTCCTCCTCCTCCTCCTGAGACGCCACACCCAACGGCACATTACCCAGGAGACGATCAAGGATGGCAAAGTCGATGGAATCAACACCCACCAGCCGGAGGAGTACACGCTCAATACCAGTGGCCACCCTACCAGGATGCAGCATCCCTACGGCCACAATGGATAGCACCAGCCGCGCTTTTGGATCAAATGCAGTTCGGTCCCCCGACGCATCGTCGTGATGATGCAGCAGGATACGCACCTTCGAGTCAAACGACGGGCCCACATTCACCGATGACCAACCAGAACATCCATCTTCACCACCAACATGCCAGTCCTCAACAACATGGTCGCAGCGATCACCCGGAAGTACGCCCAGCACCTCTACATCCACAACCTCACTCCTACCCCCAGGCCACAAGTCATTGGCAGAATCCGGACCCACCTCCGTATCTTCAGCATGGTCCGCAATATCATCAAGGCCAAGATCTACGACCAGACCACCATCCTCGAGACCTTGCGCATCATCATCAACAACAAAGCCCTCCTCAGGGTCGACCAGAATGGAATCAAGCCACACCTCGGCCAGCACACCATCTTCAGCAACAAATGAATGTTCCACAACGAGCAGATCATCCCGTGTTCGCGCAAGCAGAGCCCCATCCTCCAGTTCGAGAGGGACCTTACCCCATCTCCCTACTAAATACCCCTGGCGCCTGTGCACATCGAGATCCAGCAGAACACGGCCAGCCACGTCAACAAGATGCTCCAGTTGACACACAACACCTAGACCAAGGACGCAGATCTCAGCAAGACCCCACTCAAGTATACGCTCACCGAGATCCGCAGCGAGACGCAGCACGGCAGGAGCCTTTGTCGCAGTCCAGACCGTTTCCAGCACTTCCGCGATCTATGCCCGCCCAGATTTCGGACACACAACAAGATGACCATCAAAGAGGCCAACCTGTTCATCACGGAGAACATCAACAACCTCGTCAAGCCCCAGAACCACCCTCTCAAACCACGTCGATGACGACACCATCCCAGATGACGGAGATGTTCACGTGCATCACAGGCATGATTGAGAAAGTCGTGGCACCGCTACTCCAGTCCCATACCAGAGTCGCCCCAACGCAACTACAACATCCTGGCGACCAACACAGAGCAGAGTCCTTTACCACACACCACACCCGAAGTCGCAGCCGTACCACCTATGAGCCCAGCCCAGCCCACCCCAGGAGCACCAGATCTACGCGACACACGCACATCTCCCATTCACCCCACAGCCCCGCACCCAACGACCCCCACCAGACAGGCAAAACCAGACGGCCACGCAGTCCAAGAAGATCCAGATCCACACGTCGACACTCGGAAGAAGCCGAATCGCGAACATCGAGAAGGCGCTCTTCTCCAGTTCATCATCACCGGACATCCCAACCAACACCATCCCAACGCAGCCCCTCCCCAAGCAGCACCAGGCGCAGAGGCACGACCGTCGTTCTCACTCCCGCGCTCCATCGATCTGCTTCACACACGGCGACCCACAGAGACACACCTGCTTCCTCATCCCGACCACCCCAAGCACCCTCAGAAGCCACTTCACACAATGCAGGACCAGAAACCGAATCAGGCTTCAAACCTGAAGAACGTCGACGCATGAAGATGCTCTACCAAGACGCCTTGGCGGACCCCTACAGGCTCGCGTGTGTGTCCGAGATGTACCACCAACAAGACCCACCGCCGCCCATGGACCCTTCCAGCACAGGCGTCCGGTACATGAACGACATCATGCACGACATCGCCAACCTCACCCAAGGACAGCCCCTTTGGCTCTCTAACCCAGCACAGATGGCCATCCGCCAAGTGGCAAGATCCTTCGCTTGCTCTCACTACAAGATCACGCCCTTCCTCGGCCAGTTCAGAACTCACCCCAGCACGGACACGGTGATCCACCCGGAGCTCATCCACGTCGACCCCTACAGCAACAAACAGGACACCACTGACTACCCACTGGTACAGGTCCTCGTCATACCACTACGCACCACCAAGCCTCCACCTCACGCACACGATGCCAACAGTCCATCACCTCCCACGCACAAGGGCGCCTACAAGGCATATTGGTCACACGCTACCGATGAAGCAGGCCTATGGCACATCCTGCGCGAGGGCTTCGTCAGACCCACGAATTGGGAGCCCACCAATTGGGATGACGACAACCTCCCCTACAACAAAGCATACCTACCCCACCGTGGGTTCAACGGATTCCACCAAGACAACGCACCCGACAACCTCCAACTCGGATTTTGCCACACCAACCTCCGCAAAGCCCTCCGCCTTCCAAAAGCCAGAGCAGGCCCTGCCGAACGAGAAATAGCCACAGGTTTCACCATATTTGGACGCGTCACATCGTCCACCTCCCAGCATAGCCACATGCGGCAGAAGGGAGGAGGATGGACGACTCAGAAGGCGCTCATCGAGGCACACTTCAACGACACCAGCCGGGCCAGTCGCAACTTCACCACCGTCTTCTCCCACACCGAGAAGAGCGTCATTGATGCACAGTACGCTGAGATCACCGGGATCACCATCAACGTCTTTCACCCTAGACCCTCACCCACCACACCACCTCCAGTTCCCAACAGATCCCGAGACAATGACCGCGGACAACGACGTTGACAACTACCTGAGCTGGCGAATCCTTCTTCCTCATCGTGAAGAGCAAAGTGACGATTTCTTTTTCACCTTCACGAACCCTCACTCGTACGGCACCAGCGCGTTAATCACAGCATGTCAAAATGGAAGGCATCAAGCGGAGCAGGTCGTAGATTGGAGGGAGTGCACCCCCACCCCACCACACATCACTCTGCAGTTCCGAACTGTTTGAAATATCCACACCGAGCTCTATGCATTCAGCCCAGTGTGTGCGCCAGTCACGGATTGCAATCGGATGCATGTAGTACTGCGTTACGGATGAATCAGCCTGTCTTTTCTCTTCGGCACATGAAATCACGCGTCAAGTGAATTCGTGCACTGCTGTGATGCGTTAGACCTTGACCTTGAGAGACATGCTCTGGCCGCCTTTAGGTGTCGTTAGTGCGGATTGCATTTCGCATGCAGTTTTGCTCTTGACCATAACGGATCATTAGACGCTCACTTTCATCATGGATCCGGCAGAAGACATGGAGCACGCCCTTCACCGCTGGCTAAGCGGACAAGTCGCCGATCATCAGGTTGTGCAAGTACTAGGACCCCAAATACTACAAAGATGGCAAGCCTTGCCTTGTGAGCATCGTGGAGGAGGATGACACCCCCATTACCACGGACACGTCGTCGATGCCAGCCAGACCATGGACGACCAACTTGCACCCATCCAAGTACATGGAGATGCTCAGCACCACTGACGAGGGCATCAGCAACACCGTCAACAGATTTCGACAGCAAACCATGAAGGCCAAGATACTGCACCAATCCAGATTGCGAGCGGTGCAGACCGACTACCCCGAGATAATCGGCCAAGGACGACTACAAGACATGGAAATCAAACCCGGTCGAGTTCTTGCCTCCGCGGAAAACCACGGTACCATGCCCCATACCCTTCCCCCTCCAACCTCCTCACAAGACCATGCGAACCAATTCCAGAGATGGTATCCGAATCGACAAACACCACCCCAGGACCACGCCACCGGCATGTCCATGGATTATGCGGGCACGGACCAACCTGTCAGAGACCTACAAACCTGGCACACTGGAGCCTTCCCACACATCCCCGTACCTCCCGACCGCACAGTACCTCCTCCCGAAGAACGGCATCACAGAGAAGACAGATCCAGGTCGCCACTTCGAAATCCTGGTGTCCACACGATGGGCATGCACGTCAGCAGCTTGCAACAACTGCTCGACAGCCTTGAACCAGCTGTGGACGCGCAATCCGTCACACAACATCACGACCAAGGCCGGCTACGCCCAGTTCTACCAGTTGATCAGATAGAGAAAGTGCAGCCGCAGTGGTGGAGACGACCGATTCGACCGGAACTTGTTCACATGCTGCCTCCGGTTGAACCACACCATTGGGAACTCCAAGAGGACGGCACACCCGTCATTCGATTCTTCCCCAACCGCATGACCTTCCTCCCGAAGCAGCTGGTGCACAAGTTCCCCTCACTCCAACAAGAACTTCAAAACAGCATCCTCATGACCTGGGACCAGTACAAGGACGACGCATCCACCCACGTCCAGATGGCACGCTACGCCGACTCCGTCGACATTCCCCAACCCAAGCCCCTACACCTACGACTACGTGCCCTCCTACACGAAATTCTATCAGGAACCGCTGCAGTTCACATCATACAGTTCACAGCCATACAATTTAGGATGCTCGTACGCAAAGGCACTTGCCCAGATTTGGCCACAATGCCCAACATCTATCAGCTCTGGCACTGGGGCTACATCAAATTCCGAAGTGTGAACCCGGAACTCTGGATGTTCACACACAACTTCGCAGATCCCAGAACTATGGGCAGACTGGAGCAGACCTGCACTCATTTCCACAGAGTCTGGTCAGCACACGTCCTACCCAGCACGGCAGGATTGGTACCCCTGCTTCCGCCCATACAAGACCTCTGCGTGGTGCTCCATAGTACTACGCCACCCTTCCACCAGCCGATGCTTGCGAAGTACAACACCATCTCGGGCATCATGACCATGCAGGCGGTCAGCAACATAGTCTTCCGCAAGGCTCACCATGACCTACAGCTCCACAGAACATGGCCCAGCATCGATTCCCACACAGAATGCCTTCAGGGAATCAACACGTTCCAGATTCCGGACCACTGGTCAACCAACATATGGACCGATACGCTTCAGAAGCTCACCCACACGACCAGATGGACGCCACCCTCCACTCCCGACATCCGCACCAAACTCACCATCGACCACCTCCACAGCGACACACTGCCCACCATGGTATGGACACCGAGATTCGCCTTACCCCTCACTTCACAACAGATCCACGCAGTTCAAGTCTCCACCCAAGCAGCACATGTACTACATCGACTTTGGGACCCACTCATCTTCACCTTTGCGGACCCTTGCCACACCATCGACGGTTTCGACGCCAAGCGGACAAGCCGTCCTGATTTGATTGGCAAACTTCACCGACTGAGTCCAGGAGGACAAACGCCAATGTTAGCAATCCCGGCCAGCAGCGTGATGGAGACACAGTTGGACTGGGCCTGGTTCCAATCCACTACGGCATCCAGTTCCCCGTTTAGATGGCTGTCCCTACCCCTTGCAGTCATCGGACACCCCAGGACGCACTCGGTCTTTTGGACCCACCCGAAGATATCAGGCCAAATCCAACGTCACCAAGCTCTACATGTACATCAAACCACGTGGTTGGCGGTATCGGGAACACCTACAGCCTTCCAGGAGGATCCAGACATCAGGCAGAATCAAGCGCAGGCCACGCCAACCCAGGAGGAATGGACGGACTTCATCAACCAACGACACGCTCTACTAGAACTTCAACGACGCACCACCGTTGACCAAGAAGCAGGCCAACATCAATGGAAGTATCTGAAATGATGAGGTCCCAGCAAACATAGTTTCACGATGGAACGAGCTCAGCCACATGCACCCGTTGAGAGAAGTTGCAGCCATATGCACCTCACATCCTGCATGCAATTTTCGGAACACGCTGCCTCTGCAAGTGTAGTGTTTCATGTGCCTGACACAGCCGTTGCGTGCCTCACGTAGGCTTCTTCACTAACAGCTGAACATATCAGCATCCCCATACCCCCACGCCATGGCAGACAGACGTGATCGCCATGATCAACGACATGCTCAATGGCATGCAGACGCACACAGGCGAGGCAACCGTTCCAGACGATCCAGATCACCCAGAAGGTTCAGCACGCCAAGACCATCTAGGAGGCATCGCACTAGGTCGGCATCACCGAGATCCACGCGCACGTTCCACTCCAACCCACGTCCCAGCTCGGGACCGACTTTGACCCCCAGATCCACATTCACAACGTCCCACACGCTTCCTCACCACGGACAAGATTCGGTGTACAACCCACGACGAGATCGCCACCGTCATGATCAGCGACTCCCGATATACGGGAACTCTCCCATCCAATCTACTCAATCTTCGGCCCCTACCCCAGCCCGCCTTAACCCCAAAGAACGCGCCAAGGAAGTGCTCCAGGACATCTTCCACCAGCCCAACAATGACCTCCCAGACCACTGGGATTCCACCGAGCTGCTCTACGACAAAAACCAGTATGGAGGAGTCCAGATGCCCAGAATCGTACCTGCCACGTCATCGGCCAAGAAAAATGGCACGGCAGGTATGGATCCGTTCGACATAAAACTCTGGCAAGTGGCCTTCGAGGGCAAGCACAATTATATGTTGCGACAGCTCGCCAACGGACGATGGACTCAGTTCCAAGGCCACAAGTCACTACCCGATGCCGTGTTTCACATGAAACTCTCCACCTTCATCCGCAACCGCAACATTCGCATCGAGACCATCGCAGTCAACTATTGGAAGTGGAAGAACGGTACTGAAATGCTGCCCTCTGAAGCCCAACGGAAGGAAGCCATGGAGATGCTCGTCGCCAACATTGGAGACCTCCTCATGCGCTACAACAATCCCCCTGCTGTACAACCCCAAGTACGTGCCCAACTCGCACAGAAAGAAGCGGAGATAGCAGGATTGCGCGCACAGCTGGCAAGTCAGAGCCGCAAGACACCCTTCCCGCAGGGCATCATCCCACCTACCCAAACCCAGATGCCCAACTTCTTCGAAACAGGCACCAGCAAGACTTCACCATCATCCGGTAAACAACCACATCCACACCGAGATCCGTGCGCTCAGGACAACACCCACGACTTTGTGCAGGTTATCGACGCCGACGACGCCCAAGTATCGCAACCGATAGCATCCGAAGCAGCCGAACAAGCACCTCAACCCCCTCCCCCACTTCACCCCCACCCACCTACCGTGGAAGACGAGATGGACCCCAACTTCATTGGAGGCATCACCACACCCTCCAACCACCCCAGCCCAAGATCTCCGGTCACAGGTGAACCAGCATCCAGCCGCCCGTTCGAATCACCAGGCGGCAGACAAAATAAAGTCCTCCTCGACATCGTCAATGCATTCGACGACGAAGAACTCATCCAGTATCTCAGCGGCATAGCTCCGAAGCGAGAACCAGGTGACAAGGCCAAAATGGACAAGATCCGACAAGTACATGAACTCACCAGCTCACTATCAAGATACGCGGCCCCGTCAGCAACCACCTGGATCTCCACCCTCAAGATGTCTGGACCTAAATTACAGGCCCAGAAAGAAATTGCCAAGAGACTCACGGTGTATGCAGAGGCGCATCCAAAAGATCAGGCATACCAGGACATGGTGAAGGCCTGGTCTCTTCCCAAGCTCACCAACACAGCAGGGACGGCAGCAGTCGCTATCGTGGTGGCAGGCCTCGCTTCATACCTACATTGACTAGGTACCCTACTCACAACGCAGCAACCCTCTAGACGACTCAACCGCATACACTCTTCCATGGTGAAGTGCATGGACATCGCGAAGAGCGTGGTCCAATACACATTTCACCGCATACCTTTCTTACACAGATACTCCACTTGGCTCTACGGCAAGTTTTGGCTCACCGCTCTTTGCCATTTTCCTCGACGCCAAGTTGATCGACGCAGACTGGTACGCCTCAAACAGTTTCACCGTATCACCCCGGAGCTCTACACATTCGAATTTTTCAATCAGCCGAACGCAGTGTACTGGAGAGTCGACCACGGACGCATGTTTGAGCACCTCTATATTGGCAGCACCTCCACGAAGGTCACAGTCAGAGAAGACAACCGACGCAGAAAACACAATGCACTCGCCGCTCAAAAACTGGTCAACGCAGAACCAGCCATACACTACTGGCACACCACCAACACATATTGGGAGTTCGTTCCGATCAAAGTCCGCAGCGTTGACGATGTGGCAGAGTTGCACATGATTGAGCAGGCAGACATCGCGGACCTCCAACCCTCCCTCAACGCCCCCTTCATCTACAAGCACTTCAAAGAAGACACAGGCCACACCTTCCAACCCAAGATCATTTGCGACGTCAACGTGCTGGCAACCAAACTACGTGCCCGACTACATCGACACCTAGGCAGAAAAACTAGACCTTGGCGAGCCGTCAAGGCACAGATAGACACCAAAACACGCATGTGGGGCCTCCTAACCGCCCTGTGCTCCACCACGGCTCTGCGATGGAAAACCACCAGAACGTTGATGAGCAGCAACTTCCCGGCCGAGAACATATACACACTACTACGAATGACCAACATTCTTGAATCCCCATACAAAGAGTTCTGCAAGGCAGCATTGGTCAAGGCACTCGACAAGAGACATATGGAGACCCCTAACATAAGACCCCTCGTCGCCAGTTTGCTGCCACCCATGGAAGAATGCCAACGCCATCTCCGAGAAGTTCTACGCGCCATCATCGCCAGCCACTACCACGAACTATGCCCACTACATGTTCCGAAGATCACGGTGGTAGCCAAACCAGGATCCAGCATCGAGGCCCAGCGCCACAACTGGCAGCGAATGTGTTTTGGACCAAAACTTACGAGAAGATGCACTTGCCCCAACCCTACACAGGAACTCAGTGAACATCAAGTCATCGACCTTCAGACCGCACACGCATCACCAGAAGACCCTCTACACCACATCGTCACCTACTCGTCCAAGACGGGTACCTTCCCGGAACCAGATACTTGGATTTCGCAGACGACGGAAGATGTTCGAAAATGGTGCAGACGCAATGGACTCTCCATCCCATCCAAGGAGGCCGTGCAGCTCGCCCTTGCCCCGGCGGCACAGCTTAGCCACAACGTGAAGGAGGAACACGTGAACCATCACATGGTCAAAAGCCTCAAAACCCAGCACGGCGACTACATCATCGCGCGCGAGGACCACCATCCCCACAAGATGCTAGCGTACTGCCCCCTCCACTTCCAACAGCTCATGGACAAGATGTACGGCGACCCTGAAGTCTTCACCAAGATCAACATCACCCCGACCACAGCGGCGCACAACGCGTGGCACCAACTCCCCCAAAACATCAAGACAAGATACGCCTGGGGCATCAACCCAAACCGCAAGGACAAAGTCCCGGTGTCCTACATCTTCCCCAAGCGCAAGAAGGGCTTCATCAAGTCGCGGCCCATTGTCTCGTTTGCCCAGCACTTCGCCAAGAAGCTCTTCTCCACGGTCGCCAAGATCATCACCAACATCATGTACATCTCTTTCCCCCAAGCGCTACAACAGGACAACTCCTACAAGATCTTCAAGGAACTTCACACCTTCATGAACTACAACAACGCGGACATGCACATGCAGATCGCGGACCTCGCGGGCTTCTTCACCAGTGTCCCACAGGAACGTATCCTCCAAGCCCTCATGATCACCATGCACAAGTACTTCGCCAACTCCCAGCACGGCTTTGACACATGGCAGGACGTCTCCATCACCTACGACCCCAAAAAGACGCTTAGGACGGCCAGAACGTTCAATGGGAAGTACAAGCAGATCAACCATGGTCGACGCACCATCTACATGCACGACATCTGGGAGATCACTCAGTACGTCCTGAAGTGCAGCTACTTCACCTCCCAACAACAAGTATACAAGCAGACCAGAGGTAGCCCAATGGGACACCCAATGTCACCGGTGTTGTGCCACATGGTCTGTTGTGTCGAAGAACATCAATGGCATGAAACATATCGCATAGCCTTGGCATCATGCGCAATTCTCGACCGCTTCGCCAAGAGATATGTTGACGACCGCATTTGCATCCTGCCACAAAGTTGGGCTTACACGAGCCCTTGGAGCGAGTTTCTCCAAACAGAGTTCTACGGCCCGCCCATATTGTTGGAAGAACAAGAAGAAGCCAACTACCTCGGATGCAACATCAACCTACACCGCAAAGAAGTTCGCCTCATTCTCCCCTCACAGACACACCAGCTCCTTTCGCCACGGGGATCCACACCTATGGTCCACCGTGCCAGTGCATACCGAACGAGACGCCACATGATCTCAAAGATAGCGTACCCCGAGCCGGTTCGTCTACAACAACTCCGAGAACTTCGCGCCCTCTACCAAGCCCACGACCCAGACATGCTGACGTTTGTGCATAGATGACTCGAAGTACCACAGCAAAATCAATATCAAAGACCGCCAGCAAGTGCCCATGATGCGCAGTGACGGATTGCAGTCGTTGAGGTCCCCAAACCTTTCCTCCCCAAGCCCCGTGTCCCGCAGTGAAGTGTGATTTTGATCATGCACATCATGCAATCATGTGAAGTCCGCCCCTACCCTTTCCCGCACCCACCCAGAGCGCTTCTCTTCAGTGGCTGACGCAGTGACAGACGTAGCATAGAAGAAGTTGCCCGGCTGATAGACCAACAAGTCGTTCATCCAATTCTTCACCATGCCGACCAACAAGATGCACGAGGAGCAGACCATTCCGGATCCTCAGCCAGCAAGCCAGCAACATCCCAATAACCAGCCGGAGACAATGCAGACAGCCTCCGAGATCCCAGATGAGATCGCCAACCCCAACGATCCAATCCACCAGACCACGGACGACGCGGTGAAGCTCCTCATAGACACAGTATCCTCGCAAGCAGAGAAGATCCGGACCCTCGACCAGACCGTCTTCCAGCTGGAACAAGAGCTCGCTTTCGTCTACGAGCGCACCTGCAGCCAATCAGTATTAGAAGAACTCCTGGACGTCAAACGAGCGGCGTACAGGGCGGACTCATCAAGAGCCTCCACCTCCAACGACATCAGCCGACACAAAGGTTCCATCCGCGATCTTCACCTACAGCTCAACGATATCCAACGTGATCAAACTCTCCAAGCCAGACGACTACAGGAACTAGGAGGACGACTAGATGCTCTTGGACACCAAACTCGCCAACAACTACAAGAACTACGAGACAGACTCCGCCTCCATACCACCATCCCGCAGGACCCTCATCCAATATCCCACACCACCATCTACGCAAGCCTGGACGAGACAAGAACTCGCTTGGACACCGTCGACCAGCTCCTTTCTCGACACGACCAAAGCATCAAGTACCTGTGCAGGTGCCTTCGATCCGCAACCGGCTCAGCTACATCCTCCAGACAGGCACCCATTGGACAGTACAGATCAAACTCCAGGGCCCCGCTCGAAAGAGATGATCCTCTACAGCATCTTCAAGATCCATGACCTCAAGAATCGGAACCCGGAACCGGTGCAATTCATCTGTCCACTCAACGACGTCGTGCAGAACGCAAAGTTGGATGATAACTGGCCTAAACAGCACCGCCACAGCATCCAGTAACATTGTTACGCTTTGGTCAATTTTGTTTTCACCAAAAACGATTCCCGTTCTATCTCACCTACATCCGACGCTTGGCTTGGAGTGAGCAAAAGAACCGAGACCAAGCGCGAGTCCCGCACCTTCATGTTTCATGATAAACTTCATCTTACCCCCATCCCTTTGTGACGGAACCCCTTGACGTTGATTGCATACGGAAACTCACGTACTGTGCAGCTGACCATCATGAAACATGACAGATTGTTTGGATCGAGTAACGTTTCCATCGCTCATCCACCTCAGTCATGGTGAAGCACGACCACCACGGAGATGAACGTCCCCGGCGAAACAGATCGCGGTCCTGCAGACGAAGTCCCCGCACTACCAGAGCAACAAGGCTGGCCATGGACTCAAGAGACCCACCTCGACGACATCGAACGGAGAATCCGCCT